CCTTGTAAGCTTGTTGGATCCTCCTTAGGTAGAGCGTGTATATTGCCTCGTTAAAAACCTTGCAGGTGGAACCCTCTTCGGGACAAAAGCTCGGCCGAAGGAAGAGAGTGCAACGAATGCCGTTAAGGCCTTGAGATCTTCGGGTTGGGTTAGCACTTTCGACCGCCCTGACCGGGCGCCTGTATATGGGTTAGTGCAAAATAATGAAAGAGGGAGGTGGTCTTACCTTATCGTGGGATGCGCCGGTGATGTTTCGAGGTCTGACGTGTCCCTATTGTTTGGAGTGAGGACTCGGTACGGTCCTCCGCTGTGTTTAATCGGGCTTAGTCGAAGATGTAGTTCGATTATCCTTTGACTTTTTTGAGAATGGAGATATTGGTGTCGGCACTACTTTACGTAACGCAAACGCTTCCCTTGCCACGCATTGTTCCCCGTAGACGGTTTTAACCCCATACTTCGTCGAAAATTTCATCATTTGGTGGAGGGTGGACGGCGTCATCCTCATGCAGTGTATCCTTGGTCATCTGGATAAGGCGTGGTATTTCATGTCTCCTTTAATGACATGGAATTTTGGCATTTTGGGCCGTGCCGGCCACGCCGACCGGGAGAGTGGTTTCTCCTTTTGTTGTTTCGATCGCCGTGTTAAATCCGTTAAGGATTCGAGAGGCGGGCACGATTTGGTCTAGCAGTCTGAGCTACTCTATTACTCTCGACCTGATAATGTTGGTCGAGCTACCAGTGTGTTGTTACGAGGTTGGGGTGAGGCCTCAGAGTCTTCCTCGCTAAATGTGAGGGCATCTTCGGGTACGTATCCCCGAGTTCGTCTTTCTCCGGTGATGGATATTTTTGTCCTCCTTGTCATGGGTTCCTGGGGAGTGCCGACGCCCCTCCAATATCATGTGGATAACATGCCATGATTCATTTGCTTTATTTTTCTTGGCCGCCACTCTTTCTCGGAACTAGATTTTAGCCCGATTGTTAAAAAATCCTCAACGGTGATTTTTATCGAGTAGCCTGGCTATTTCATTTCGGAGCTGGTGGCAATCTTTGGTCTTATGGCCACGTGTATTATGAAGCGCACATACTAAGTTGTGGTTCTTCTGGGAAGGATCCGACTGAATAGGCCTGGGCCATTCGGTGTCCCTGGTTTTGCTGAAGGTGAACATGATGTCCGATTCATCGACGTTGAAGCTGTATTCTGATAGGTGAGGTGCCCTTGTTGGCCCCGTGTCCTCGTCGAATCCGCCTCGGCTGATGAGTCCCTGAGGGTTCTGTTTGTTGCCTCACCAATCGATCACTGCAAGTCAGATTGCGTCTCGGGATGTTCCTCCTATTTTCGGGGTACGACTGATACCTCTCTTTGTTTGATTTCGACTCCTTCACCAGGAGTCTGCTCGGATATACTAAGCCCGAGGGGGCTCCCAGCTAGTCATCCTCGACCCTGATCTTTGACTGGTATCGGTTGTGGACGTCCGACCAGGTTACGGCGGGATACTCGATCAGATTCTCTTTCAGCTGCCTTGAGGCCATTGAGCTTCATTCGTTCAGGACTTGAGTGAAGTCCTACACCGCCCAGTCGTCGAAGACCAGGGGTAGTTCCATCCGTTCCGTTTGGAAGCGAGATACGAATTTTCGCAGCATTTCATTCTCCTCTGCTTAATCTTGAATACGTCGGACTTCCTTGTTGCTACTTTGATGGCACCGGCATGTGCCTTTATGAAGGAATATGCTAGCATGGCAAATGAATCTATGGAGTTGGGAGCTAGGTTGTGATACAACATTATGGCCCCCTTCGAGAGCGTTTCCCCGAACTTCTTCAGTAATACGGACTCGATCTCGTCGTCTTTTATGTCGTTGCCCTTTACTGCGCACGTATAGGTAGTGACATGTTCATTGGGATCTGAGGTCCGATTGTATTTTGGAGGTTCTGGCATTCTGAGCTTCTTTGGAACGGGTTTCGGAGCCGTTTCCTCTGGGAATGGCCGTTGTACGAACTTCCTCGAATCTACACCCTTCAGGACCGGGGGTGTGCCCGGGATTTGGTTAGCTCTGAAGTCGTAGGTCTCGACCTTCTTATCATTGGCTGCTATCATTTTTTCGCTCGATTCGATCCTTTTGGTGAGGTTTTCGAGCATTTTCACGATGGCAGGATCGGCTATCGATTTGTTGTTGCTCGATCTCTCAGGTATCTATCCGGTGCTACCGTGCTGGGAGTCCTCGGGTGGCTTTGCAGCTGAGCGACAACCAACTGTTGTGCCTGCAACATTTCAAAAATAACACGAAGGCTAACTTCCCGTTCTTCCCGAGCTAGGGCTTTTTGGGGTTCCTATTTGTCGCCATGTTGTATGCTCCTATCGGTGTGTGAGGTTTCGCCGGCCTGCTGTACGTCTTGCGAACCCGCGTCTGCTGGAATCGGTCCAGGCGCGTTGTCGGGGTTCTGTGGCGGCGCACCGATAATTGGAACAGCCACACCGTTGTCTCCGTGGTCTTTAAGGTTGTCATTCTCAACTCTATTCACTGAGCCAGACATTTTGACCTGAAATCGAAGATCTTGGACAAGAAAAAGTGTGAAAGATAACTTGCATTGTGTGACGAAACCAGCAAGAAAATAATCACTATTATTTTTAGCCCCACGGTGGGCGCCAAACTGTTTACCGTGAAAATGATAATAACAATTAAATTTGTTGATGAGACTCTAAAAATACGTGATCTATTTTTATGCTAGTTGTTTAAGCAGTTAATGCTAGATATGTGAAGATAAAAGATAAAATGCGAGCTAAAATGGAATAATAATCGAACCGAGGGGTTAGCTATTCTAGCCTCGGACTGACCGATGAGGGGCCTCGAGGTCGATGCCTGGGCTCGGGCTCGAGCTATCGGGGATAATCGGAAAGGGGCTAACAATTAGAATATAATTAAATGAGGCTCTTTATGGCCAATAACAAGCAATAAATGAAGAACAAGTATGAAAGCAATAAATGGAAGTGATGATCTCGAGTGAATTAGTTTACAGAGAAAAGAGAAAGAGTTGTTATTTATCTTGTATAGAATAGTTGGAGTAACAACAACCCTTTACAAAGTGGTAAGGATCCCCTTTATATAGGAGGGGAAATCAAACATAGTACAAGATGCATTGATTGTAAAGGTATGGAGATGGGACGGCTAGACGCGACACCCTGATACAGGTACTAGGTAGGCCGGCTTTGTCAAACTTAGCCGCGTGCCCTAAGAACTCCTTATTTTTACTCTAGCCTCGGTCGAAATTCCCTTTAGGCCGGGCCTCGGTGAGCTTCGAGGGAGGGAACTCGGTCGCAGCTTCGCGTCCTCGAGGCCTCGAGATGTTCTTCTGAAATGCACTAATAGCAAGAAATTGGACCCTCCGATTTCGCTGCATACATATGCATTTCATGCATTTATACATGTGCATTGACCCATGACCAGATGACATTATATATGCGTATATATGTATATTATATATATATATATATATGGGAAAAGGTTACGACGTTATATACGCACCACCACCTAATCAGCTGGTATGCGTTGATGATTTTGCCCACAGTGGCCGAGATGATATGTTGGGATGCCCTCAAAGGCTTGATGATGTTATGAACACATGTACCTATGCATGACATGACATTCATATGCATATGTATGACACTATAAGTATTTCATGATTTACAAAGTTATCTAGACTTGAAGGTTGAGTCATGTACTCCATGTTTCTTCCATGTCTGTTATATACTTATTTATTTATGTGTCTTACATACTCGGTACATTATTCGTACTGACGTCCCTTTTGCTTGGGGACGCTGTGTTTCATGCCTGCAGGTCCCGATAGACAGGTCGAGAATCCTCCAAGTAGGCTATCAGCTCAGCGGAAGATGTTGTTGGCTCCATTTGCTCCGGAGTTGCTTGTTTGGTCAGTATGATTTAGACGAGTATTGTTTGGTATGGCGGGGCCTTGTCCCGACCTTTGTGTTAAGTGTGTACTCTTAGAGTCTTGTAGATAGATGTCATGTATACGAATGCTTGTATGGCCTTGCTGACCTATGTTTTGAGTTTACAAATGATCATGTTGGCCTTATATGCCCGTATATCACATGTATAAGTTTTGATATCAGGTTAGGTCGTCCTATATTGAGTATTCCCCTATGTTTATTCTGGTTAGCTCATGACGGCCCGTTTGGCCCATTTGCCAATGAAAGTACAATAAAAAAGATATGTTATGTTGGTATTCGGTTAAGTAAAGTAACGGGTGCTCGTTGCGGCCCATAGATTTGGATCGTGACAATAAAGAAAGGATCAAGACACATGATCCATTCTTTAAAGAATCCACACAGAGAAAAAAGTTTAATCAGAGGGAGGGCGACAAAGAGGTGAAAGAGCAAAATTGCAAGTTTAAAAACTTGGGCTACGTACACATATCTTACAATTGAAACTTGAGGTGAACAATCTCAAAAGTAGCTTAATTAATATGCCTAAACAGTGAAACCAACTTCGTATATGAAAAACCAGACAGAATGAATAGTACAATGCGTACATAAAGATGACCGAGCAGATTTTGAAAAATCAGAAGATGATTTGTGAGAAAATATGAGTGGAAACCTAAGGAAAGAAAATAGGAGAAAAAAAGGAAAAAGTTGTAACTATATCCCTCGGTGGATTGTTTATATTTTGTCAACAAAACTTATTTATACTGGATAATTAATTAAACATTAAGAGTAATAAAGTTTCAAATAGTATATAGAAATAAAAAATCCCATATTTTATGAATTGGTCAATTTTTGTACTAATGGGCGGGTAAATTCCCAATAAGTAATGTTACAAGTGAAAAATCCTTTATTTATCCAATTATTCAGTAAGCCCAGACCGGAACCGGCCCACTAACAAGTGAATGGGTAGGCAGTCGGGTTTATGGAAGCATTCACTATTAGTAAAACCCCGAAGTGGGGGATAAAATAATAAAATATCCAGAGTCCTCGGTGGAACATTGCAGTACCATTCATATTAAACTAAACTCTACATATAAACGGCTCTCTCCACCCTTATCATCACCACTTTCTCCCTCATTCTATCTTCTTCTTCCTCCCTCACTCCTCCTTATCCCCTTCAGCCAGCCATGGCCTGTTCTTCTTCCATTATAGGAGTTCCCTCCATATACCAAACCAACCCTTCACGAAGACCTATCCCTACCCCACTTTTATCCCTTCCTTACTCCAATGAAAAATCCCATTTTATTAATGTTCGTCTCAGACATGCTTCTCTTGTGGCTTCTGCTGTGGTAACTCCAAATTCTTCAGTTCTTAGTGAAGAAGCGTTCAAGGGAATTGGGGGTTTTGGGAAAGACTCTCTGAATGTTAGCAGCGAACCTGAATACGATTCTGAGTCTGAGGTGGAGGATGATGATGAGTCAGGAACTGAGGATGAACTTGCTATTTCTAAACTGGGTTTACCTCAGAGACTTGCTGACTCTCTTGAGAAACGTGGAATTACTCATCTTTTCCCTATTCAGGTTCCACTCCTTTTTCCTTTCTACTCCCATCTTTAGTTGATTTTTTAATCCAAATTTTCTTCTTGTTCAGCTGTTTTGTCAAAACATTTTGTAGTATATAGATAATTGCTATAATTATTGTTTGATATTCTAATGGTCGGATTTGTAATTGATGGCTAATATTGTCCCTTATTTATGTGACTAGGTCTATTTTTGTCCCTTAAATATATCCCGAGCACTTTAATCCCTTACGTTTGATAAAGTGGAGCATTTTGGTCTAACGGACAAAAAGGGGTTAAAACTTAAAACTAATGGTCGCTTCCCATGTCCCAGGTAAAACACCAAAAGATTTGCAACTAACCGAATAGGGTTCATAATTGGTGTTCAACAGCTGCAACACATTCTTCACCTGCAATGATAGTGGTCGCTCCTTTCCCACTAAGTTCTGCAAGCTTCTTTGCAATTGCGTATCACTACATTAACATGCTTTTCTCTTTACTCTTCAGTTACCGAAGCAACATAATCAGAATTGAAGGAAAACACTAACAACATACGCAAACATTAACACTGCTCCCTCACCAAAAGATTAGAATAATAAGTAAATACTAAGTTAATGCACTTAGTGATGTGTCAAACCCGCTTATTCATCTTCCTTTTCTTTTAAAAAGCCACGTAAACTAGTTGTATTCACTTTTGCTTTCTATATAAAGCTCAGCAGGTCAGCGGACACAAAAGGCACTAGGTGATTGCTTCCCATTTGTCCAAGCTTGAGTTACCTGGTACCTGTTGCGGGTGGGAGGTAGCATGTATCCCGTGGAATTAGTTGCGGTGCATGCAAGCTGACCCGGATGCTACGGTTATCAAAAAATAAAATATAAAGCTCAGTAGGTGGTAAACAAATACGAATGAAAGATTGGAAATTGGTACCTCTGTTCTAGCAGAAAACTTGTCAAATTCAAACACCCCCATTGGTCCAATCCAGATCACTGTTTAAATAGTCTCCAAGGCATCACTGAAAGTCTTGACAAAGTTTGATCCAATGTCCAATCCCATCCAAACCGTCTGGGATAGCTGATGGTGGCACTGTTAGTTTTTAAACCCCTTTTTGTTAGTCAAACCAAAGATGCTCCAGTTTATCAAACTTAAGGGATTAAAGATGCTCATGGTATATTTAAGGGACAAAATAGACATACTCCCATAGATAAGGGACAATTTTGGCTAAAAACTCGCTTTTAAATGTTAGCTTGTAATTTCGAAAGGTGGGCGAAGTAAGCCTTTTTACTGCAAATATAGATAGATTAACCTAAATCATGTGTCCTTACTATGTAGAGAGCTGTTCTAGTGCCGGCACTGGAAGGCCAGGATATAATTGCTCGTGCAAAGACAGGAACAGGGAAGACACTTGCCTTTGGTATTCCAGTATTGAAAAAGCTTAGTGGAGATGAAGAAATGAGAAATACTCTGAGGTAAAGGTTTTTAGCATGGTGGTTAGAGTTTTTGTTATTCTAGTTATTGACAAGTATGATTATTTGCTCTTTTAACTTATAGGCGTGGGCGGCTTCCCAAAATTCTGGTACTTGCACCTACTCGAGAGTTAGCCAAGCAAGTAGAGAAGGAAATGAAAGAGTCGGCACCATACTTGAACACTGTCTGCATATATGGAGGTGTTTCTTATGCTACACAGCAAAATGCACTGACCCGTGGGGTTGATGTTGTTGTTGGAACTCCAGGTAGACTTATTGACCTAATAAACAATAACACCTTGAAACTGGGGGAGGTGGAATATTTGGTCCTCGACGAGGCTGATCAAATGCTCGCAGTTGGATTTGAGGAAGATGTGGAAGTTATTTTGGAAAAACTTCCATCACAGAGGCAGAGCATGCTTTTCTCGGCCACCATGCCTGGCTGGGTAAAGAAACTGGCTAGGAAGTATTTGAACAATCCCTTGACAATTGACTTGGTAAGCCTTTGTTCTTTCTCAGCGTTATTTATCATCTTGATATATGCAGTATTGCGATGTGCCCCTGAATGATCTCTTGGTTCTTTTTTAATAGCAAATTGTTGTTGTTTTCTGATTAGAATTGCAAATGTTCACTATATTTCTTTACTTTTCCTAAGAAGTTATGGATATTTGGTTTTGATATAGATTTAAAAAGAAAACATATAATTTCTTTTCTTCCCTGTGGTTGTCTTACCTGTTGTTCCCTTCCGTTCATTTCAATTACTCATTTAGGTTGGTGATCAAGAGGAAAAGCTGGCAGAGGGGATCAAGCTTTATGCTCTATTAACTACAGCAACATCAAAACGAACCATACTCAGTGATCTTGTTACGGTATGTATTAACAGCTATTTTCTTAGCTTTCTTTCACTGATGCAGATTTCAGAGTGTCAGTTCTCAATCATTGTGCGAAATAAATCGTCAATAGTACTCAAGCACTCAGAGCCTCAACGTTTTGCTTTAAACAATTTCTCAGGTTTATGCAAAGGGTGGAAAGACAATTGTTTTCACACAGACAAAGCGAGATGCTGATGAGGTCTCAATGGCATTATCAAACAGCATTTCTTCTGAGGCACTGCATGGCGACATTTCTCAACATCAGAGGGAAAGAACTCTAAATGGGTTTAGGCAAGGAAAATTCACAGTGCTAGTTGCGACTGACGTTGCATCTCGTGGTCTTGATATACCGAATGTTGACTTAGTAAGTTCATATGGCTGTATGTACATATATCCCCCTTAACTACTGGAATGTATTGTTTTTATCTTCTGTTATTTATGGTGCGGTTTATGTGATCAGAAAATTGAGATTTCAGGAGTTTATAAATTGGAATTCTTATGACATTTTATAGCTGGGAGTGTGAACTGCAAATACCAGAATCCATAGTCTTTGTTAGAAAGCGTGCATTTGTAACACCTCTTTCATGGATTAAATGAAACAATAAACTTTGTCATATCTATTGCTTAATAGGTTGTTGCATGTTTTGACTGTTTGCATAATAGCCTAAAGCTGTATATAGTATACTGGTGACAATGTGGAGGAAAAATGGCCGTGATCAATCATACCACTAATGTTATTGTATTTCATTGGTATGATAAAGTCAAACTTGTTGTTCTGCTTCTTTCATTCTTCTTTTCCTTGTTCTCATCCCCCTGCTTCCTCTTCTTGCGAAAAATTTCATGTTTTTCCTTCTGACTTCTGAAGCACATCTTGGAGAAGGGCCTCATTTGTTTGCACTTAATGGGTGTCTAAATCTGAATGGTTCAGATCTCAGCCCATTAATTGCATTCATTTTTTACTTTTTAACATCTCTTAATGGGTCTGAATGATTCATATCTGTGACAGAGTCTTGACGGCATTCAGACCTTAAAAATACACGTTTTTTCTCTCTCTCTCAAATTCACGTTCTCTTTTCCTTCCGCTAAAGAACTTCACAGCTTGCATCACTCTCCAACCATCAACTAGTGCATCAAATCTTTTCCTCTTGTAAGATTTCAACCTTTACTGGGTAATCTAAACTTGTGATTCTCCAACTTGACTCCATTCTTTTAATAGTAATTTTCAGTTTTGAGAGTAGGGTTTAAAAAAGACCCGTTTTGGAATATTATTTGAAAAGACCAAACAGACATAGAGAGAAATATCAGATTTATAGGGTCTTATATCATTATAGAAACAGTGTAATAATGAAAAATTGCAATATAGTTGACCAATGCATGATGATTCTGTCATTATGGTTGAATCAACTATGGGTTTAATTGATAAGAAAGTGTTGGCTACTTCTACCGGAAACAACCTCTCTACCTTTACCAGTAGGGATAAGGTCTGCGTACACACTACCCTCCCAAGACCCCACTTGTGGGATTAAACTGTTTTTTTTAGTTGTTGTTGTTGTATACTCCATCTTTTGCTACTGACCGCAATTAACTGTTTGAATCTGTTCTGCTTGAAAAGTGCTACTTAGTGCATTTATTTGGTCATTGTATTTTCTGTGATTCTAAGCTCTGTATATGGGCATCAGTTAACAGTAATAACCCTTTGGATATCCACTTTTTTATTTAGGTAATCCATTATGAACTGCCCAATGATCCAGAGACTTTTGTTCATCGCTCTGGTCGAACAGGACGTGCTGGAAAAGAAGGCAATGCTATTCTGATGTACACAGGTAATCAAAGGCGAACTGTCAGATCTCTCGAACGTGATGTTGGGTGCAAATTTGAGTTCGTTAGTCCTCCATCTGTTAAAGAGGTTTTGGAGTCATCAGCTGAGCATGTGGTGGCTACACTTAATGGTGTTCATCCCGAATCTGTTGAGTATTTCACTCCAACTGCGCAACAGTTGATGGAGCAACAAGGAGTAAATGCCCTTGCTGCTGCACTTGCTCTTTTGGGTGGGTTTTCCAAACCGCCATCTTCTCGATCTCTAATAACTCATGAGCAGGTATGACTAGCTATTGAGATATTTATGTTGATTGATAAAGCTTAATGGTTGCCTCCGTTAATGAGGTATTTATGTGTATTGATAGATCTTAATGGTTGCCTCCCATATTAGGTATTTTTGTGTATTGATAAATCTTAATGGCTGCCTCCCATATTGAGCTAATCAGCACTTAAAAAGTTCCGATCGTACTTCCTTTTTCCCTCCTTTCTCCATCCATTATGCTACCGACTGAATGGCTTCTTCTGCATGTAAGTTGTAATGGCTAATTGAATGGGCAAGTGAGGTGCTGAATGGATGACACTCACCTCCAGCATATATATTGCTCCAATCTCTTTTCATCAGCTGTTTTGGCAGTGTTCCCTTGTCCCAACCCCCTCATGGGCTGTCATGGTAATTGCATATGATATCCTCATTGTGGTGCAAAAATGTTGTAACTGCTGCAAGCCCACTTGGCAGGCCTTGTTAGTTGGCTATGTTCTATGGCCTGCAAATGCGCAGGGGCGAATTTATAGGGAAATTATGGGGCACGTGAACCCATGGTTTCTCCGCAAAATTAGATATTTTATGCACGTACATATTTTATACAATTGGTATAATATTAACTGGTGGCACCCATGCATCAAGTAGGATTAATGGTGCACTTAGTTGAAGGTTGATTTATTTACTAAGAGGGACATGGATCAATTCCCATTTAATGTATTTTTCCTCATTTTTTTAGTAGTGCACCCATGTACTAGAAATCCTAGATCCGCCTCTGCAAATGCGCCATGTAATTGACCTATTCAACTGCCCAAAAGTCTTACGTAGTTGATTTGTGATAGCAGTGCCAACTAGATCATGTATGCTGCTTTTAATTTTTTAATCTTCAAATTGCCCCCCCTCTCCTCCCCCCTTCCTTTTTGTTGAGGTCTCAAAAATTGCTATCTAAGTAAGCATGACCTGGGGAGTTTGATCCGTTTTTTAATTTTTTTTTATGCCTCCGTTTAAAAAAAACTCCCATTGCATATTTTGTGATCAGCAAGCATATTTCCACTGCAGGGGTGGACAACATTGCAGCTGACACGTGATTCTGTAAATTCCAGAGGATTCCTGTCGGCAAGATCGGTTACTGGTTTCCTCGCTGATGTTTATCCACCCGCTGCTGATGAAGTTGGCAAAATTCACGTAATTGCAGATGAAAGGGTATGTAACCCAATTTGCTAATGAGTTTTACTTGATATTCCACATTGCTGATGCCTCTAGGGAGATGTGATGTCTCTTCTTCTGATCCTCTTCTCAGTGTCTTTGCTCTAACCAGAACCATTTGACGTATTTTGATATCAGGTTCAGGGGGCTGTGTTTGATCTTCCTGAGGAGATTGCAGCAGATCTACTAAATCAGGAGTTACCACCTGGAAATACTATTTCCAAGATTACTAAGGTTAACTTAAATTTGATTCTTACTATGGTACTTGTATATGTGATTTATCCTGCACACACTTTTCTTTGCTGTTAACTGTTAAATCTGAGATAGGATAAGATGTAATCTTTGCTATCCTGTGTCTTGCAGTTACCTGCTTTACAAGATGATGGGCCAGCTAGTGATTTCTATGGGAAGTTTTCAAGCAATAGTCGGGGGGCACGAGGAGGTTTAAGGGACCGTAGAGGCAGAAATTCCCGGGGTTTGTCTAGTGGTCGATTCTCTGACAATGATGATGATAATTGGGGTAATGACTTTAGGCCGCGAGGTGGCCGAACAAGAAGAGGAGGAAGTGATTGGCTCATTGGTGGTGATAGGCGCACTAGCAGGCCTTCATCTGGAGGAAGCAGAGACAGGTTTGTTTCTCATATGTGTGTGCGTACAATTTGATTTGATTTTTTATTTCTATTATATATCTTATTTCTTTTTATTTCTTGCATCAACTGCCTCTTTTGAATTGCATCGTCAGCTTAGTCCTGGGAATTAATCCAGATAAAAAAAAACAGTTTTTGCTGGAATTATTGTATGAAGGAAAGGATTATCAGCATTACATTGTCAATTGCTGACAGTTTCATCATCCATGAAACTTGATCTAACATGATAACATTTTGGTTTCTATTACAGATTTGGTGGTGCATGTTTCAGTTGTGGACGCAGTGGTCACCGAGCATCTGAATGCCCTAACAAAAGGGACTATTAGTTCTGTAGGTTGCGTCATCATCCTGCCTGCCGGGTGACAATTCCTGTCATCCCTGAACATCTTATGCTGACCTATTTCCTGACAAAGCCAGCACTGAAGGTGAAAAAGATGGGAGTATAATGCTGAAGCAGCATATCATCAGACCAACTGCAAGATCCTAGATTGTTCCCTCCAGCACCATCTCCTCAAAGCTTCACATGGCCCTCCTGACGGTTGAATTTTTTGCCATATCGATTTATTTTCTATATTTCAAACTTATGTATTTTTGGTACTCCGTTCCAGTAATGTTCTCCTAGTCGTTATAGTTTATTGATATTGTAGGTGAATGAGGTGTAAGATATAAATCTCCTACAGTCGAAATTTGTTGCACTGCAGAGTGTTACCAATTTGTATCATGTTAAGAGCTGGCACGTTGATGCGCTCTGATATTGTAAGCAAGATGCATTGTAGTAGGACTAGTACTTGTGGTAGTGAACTAAATAACCTCTATTTCTGCATGAGTGAAAATCATTTTCATCTCTCATTTTGTTAAAAATCAATCTCCTTTCCCAGCATTGATCAACTGACATTTTCATCCTGCAATGACCCTTGAAAAGTAGACCATCAAAGAGGTAAAATGTAATTTTCTTTATAATATTAACTAGGGAATTTGATGCGCTTCGTGGAGTTATAAACAACACCTTATATGTATTTATATATGATTTTTTTATACATTTAGTTGAGATATGATATATGCTTTTTTAAGTATGTGCATGAAAAGCCAATTATGTAATGATGAATACATGATTTTTTTTTCTTTTTTTCTTTTTACCTTTTTACTTTCTTTCCTACTACCATTTTTGGTATTACATTTTATCTTCCTTCTTTCCTTTTCTCCCTCAATCCTACCGTTACCCAAGGAAAAAATATTTGCTCCCTTCTTCATGCGTACAAATCTCTATTTTCTTCTCTCAATTCTCGGCAAAATTTCAAAAGATTGTTTCTTTCTATTCAATATTCCTCGAACTCTGCTTAAATAGAGAACGACAACTCAATAAATTAAGAGAATAATAAAAATATTTCATTTTGAAATTTCTTCTGCCTTCTTACAACCGGCTTATGTTTCTCGCTCTTTCTTCAATACCAATGAATGATTTATTGTGTTACCCCTCAAGTATCAAGATTCTAAAGTTCAATACTTTTAACTAATTTCAATGACTTTGAGACACTCGAATCCAACAAAAATCTCATCTTTTTTTAGTCACATAGGAAGAAAGAAGTATCAAGAATATTTAAAGTTTAAAGCTATTTCAAAGACTCTTGAAACACCCTCAAACACAAAAGTTCACTTGTTGTAGGTTAAAATAAATAAAAAATCTAAAACTCAAAACTTTAATATTAGAACTCTAAAGTAACACCATGTAACAACCCTACCCCTTTTTGAGTATTTGTGTTGTTGCATATATTATAAGACTTTCAGTAGGTTCATATGATATTTTGGGCCTCGCAGAATGATTGATTTGGAACTCGAGAGATTCGGTGGTGTTTCGGCGCCATTGCGTGTAAATTAGAGTTTTTAGGATTCTTTATGTTGACCTTAGCGTTTGATTTGAGTATTTGCGCTTCGCTTCATGTTTCGAGACCTTATATAGGCCAATATAATGTGATTGGACATATCAAGATTTTTGAAAATGTTCTTGGAGGCTTGAGTGAGGTTCAGGGTCAGTCAGGGAGTAATTGGAGAAGTTACCAAAAATTACAGAGACCAAGACATGAGTGTGCATCGCGCACACATACCCATGTAGTGGCTATACTGCTACCCTTCAATAAAACGAGCACAAAATTTTGTATCAAATGACAAATGCTTTGAACCGTCAAATAGTAGAATGAAAGGGCTACAATTTTTGTTTTGAATCACCTCCAAATTCGTTATATAGTAGTAGGAGATATACTCATGTGAAGTCAATCTAAATTTTTAATCGCGCATGAGGCCAAGTGGACCTAGGCATGCGACGCATGCTAATTTTATAATTCTGATGCATTTTATACCATTTTTCCTCAAGGAAAAATCCCAAACTTCTATAAATAGCCCTGTTTCATAATTTTGGTTCATTGTCTACCATTTTAGAGACTTGAAAGCTCAATTTTGAGGGGTTTTTTTTGGCAAGATTAACATCTACAATATGAGAGTACGTGATTCTAGCTCGAATTTTTGATTATATCATGAATCTATCAGATTTTACCTAGAAGCATGAAGTTAAGTTGGATTTTGTGAAACTTTGAAGATAGCCTAGAAGTACTAAATATTGATTTGAGTATGTAAATGGACTTAGAATAGAAACCTAAGCACATATCTGGACTCCTGAGGCTATGGGCCAATAGATTAAGGTCATTGGAGAGCATGTTGGGAGCAATCAACCCTCACTAGCAGGGCCTGAAGCACCTGAATCTGCACACAAGGTGCATGGAGTAAAGTGAGTACTCCAACTTAGTGAGTAATAACAATAAATGAAGATTGAGCGATAAGAAATCACGTAAAACACAACAACATGCTATAAAGAGACAGTGTAAAACCAATAAAAATGCAATAAACAGTAAAATCTTATAAAAACACCTTAGTTTAGTATAAGCTTCTTTAAAACACTTTTTTAACAGTTAAACAAGTAAATGAAAAGCAGTAAGAAAAGATAAACACATAAAATCCGCCCCTCGGGCACAATGTCAACAGAATCAACCCCTCGGGCAATAACATGGAACAACACCAGCCCCTCGGGCTATATCACATATCAAAATGGGTACCCGCGCTCACTGGGGGTGTATAGACTCCATGAGAGGCCCCTTACGACCCAAACGCAATATCAAGCCATCTCGTGGCATAATCAATAGGCTCTTGGCCTCATATCAAGCCACCTTGTGACGTACAACTCAGGCCCTCGGCCTCATAATCATAATCAGAACAACACTGATGCGACGTGTAGCCCGATCCCATAATAATCCTCACAACACAGGCCCTACTCAGTCATAAATCTTTAAAAGCCACTCGGGCACAGTAAAATATGATGCTCAGCCCAAAATATCATTTAAAGTGTTAAAACAGAGTAAACATGGCTAAGTTATGAAAATAGTATAATATAGCATAACTGAGTACAGATATAAAATCAAAATAGTGAGGAAATAGCAGTAAAAATCCCCTAAGAGTCCAAATAGTTGGCACGCGGCCCAAATATGGCTTTCAGCCCAAAACATGATGATAGTAACAGTTTTTCAATCAAATACGCAGTAAAACAGTCATTCGAGATGGACTAAGTCACAATCCCCAACAGTGCACGACCCCACGCTCGTCATCTAACATGTGCGTCACCTCAAAGTAGCATAACGATGTGAATCTGGGGTTTCATACCCTCAGGACAACATTTACAATCATTACTCACCTCTATCCGGTCCAAACTCTAGCCCGCGATGCCTTTGCCTCTCGAATCGGCCTCCGGATGCTCCAAATCTAACCAAAATCAGTGCAAAACCATCAAAATATGCTAAGGGAACAAATCCCATTCGAAAGAAATCAAATTACAACACAAATCCCGATATTGGCCAAATCCGACCCCCGGGACCACGTCTCGGAATTCGATAAAACTTACATCAATAGACTTCTTATCACTCCTCGAGTTCATTCATATCAAAAGCACCAAAATCCAACAACAAACGACCCCTCAAATCCCAAATTCTAGGTCTCCAATTACAAGCCCTAGTTCTTCAATACTTAGGCTTAAATTCAACAATTTCCATGATTAATTAAGTAGAAATCACATTAGGATTGAGTATTAAGTCCATAAATCTTACCTCCAAATGTTACCCCTTGATTCCCTCTTCAATCCTCTTCAAAAAGCTTCAAAATCGCCCAAAAATGGAGAAACTTAGGCTAAAAATCGTGGAAATGAACTTTTAAAACATTATGCCCAGTCATTCAATCCTTCTTCGCGAATGCGGTCAAAGCCACGCGTTCGCGAAGCACAACCTGATGCTGACAACATTTTCCTTCTTTGCGAACGCGGCTCCCTATCGCGAATGCGAAGGCTCATCTCCACAACCCATCGCGAACTCGGCTCCCCTCTCGCGAATGCGTAGCTCAATGACCCCAGCCCTTCGCGAATGCGAGACCCCCCTCGCGAACGCAAAAGCCAAACCTTCAGCCTCACGTGCTAACTCTTCGCGAACGCGAGGGCCCACTCGCGAACGCGAAGGCCAACTGTCTACAACATCAACAACAGAATTTCTACAACTTTATCCAACTTGAAATGGTTCGTTTAACCATCAAAACTCACCCGAGGCCCTAGGGACCTCAACCAAACATGCCAAAATATACCACAACATCATTTAAACTTGCTCAAACCTTCGGAACACTCAAAACAACATCAAAACACCAAATTTGCATTAGATTCAAGCCTAAGAATTCCAAAATCTTCTATATTTCTCTTTCGATTAGAAAGTCTACCAAACCATGTCCGAATGACCTGAAATTTTTCACACACATCTCAAATGACATAATGGACCTACTGCAACTTCCAGAATTCCATTCCGACCCTTATATCAAAATCTCACCTATCAACCGGAAAATGCCAAAATTTCAATTTCGCCAATTCAAGCCTAAATCTACTCCATACCTCCAAAACACATTCCGATCATGCTCCTAAGTCTCAAATCACCTCCCGAAGCTATCCGAACCATCAGAACTCACATCCGAGCCCTTTAACACATAAGTCAACATATGATTGACTTTTCCAACTTAAGCTTACTCAAAAGAGACTAAGTGTCTCAAACCTTACCAAAACCTCTCCGAACCCGAGCCAACCAACCCGATAACACAAAATACAGCTGAACAAGGAAATAAGAAGTATAAATGAGGGAAACGGAGCGGTAACTCATAAAACGACCAGCCGAGTCGTTACAATTTGGTGTTTCAAGTGAAGGTTTGAAGTAAAAGTTTGCCATTTTAAGGCAAGTGAGGCTTTAATTCTTGGGTTACTTGCTTTTCATTAGTGGTATTCTATATATGTTGTTTGTATATATGCAAGCTATCTAGTTCATGTGTGTGGCAAGTATGATCTAGATTATCTAGTTTTGAAGTATCTAAAGTAGATTATGGGGGATCCTAGCATATGTTATTATAATATTTAATAATTCTAGCAGTTTCTTGGCATGTTGTGATTAGGGCTGTTCATTCGGATCGGATATCCGAAATCCGAACCGATCCATTCAATTTTGAATTTTGGATTTCGGATTATGTTTATTAAAATTTCGGATTTCGAATCGGATTTCGGATTGGTATATTTTAATCCAATCCAATCCGAAATCCGAAATTATTAGGACATGTATAAATACTACACTTTAATTTACATCAACCTCCAAGTTATTACCTTTACAATTGCTAGATTTAGCTATATTGGCACCATAGTACTCTCATAATTGCATAAACATGAATTTTTTTTAATGTATTGCCTCTTTTACAAAGAAAATATACATATTAGTTTAACTTTGAGGC